TCCAGCTCTCTGGTTGTAACTGGCCGCTGGGAGACATAGTAATACCACAGATCTTAGCGATCTTTCTCACCTTAATCACAGCCTCCTCACCTGCCCTCTCTTTCACAACATCACAAGCCAACTGGCCCTTAGAGGGCCTAGCATGCTCCTGTCCCATTCTAAAATACACAAGTTGTCACTTGAGAGAGAGATAGAGAGATGGAAACAGGAAAAAGAACGTCTACTGTGCTCGACTGCCACGTGATACATGCATCTTCCCAAAACGTAGACTAGTCATTGGATCCGCCCACCCAGAGTGGTCACGGATTGGAGCGAAGCGAGCAGTGTGTGACTAACACTGTTCTGGATTAAAGGTACAGTAGAGGAAAAGAAAGAGAGAGAAACTGAAAGTGAAAATGCCAATAATAAGGTACTTGCAAGAATCACAAATAAAAATATGTGCACATAATCTTGAATCAAGGATAAACCACACAACACACATAATGCAACCCCAACTAAACAACCACCACAATGCAATAAAGAATAACAACGTATCAAACATAACAATAATAAAACCAGCGATCCCTGCTCCTCTCTGAACAGTAAAGCAATCTCAGTGCATTTCCCTGCCTCTCCTGAGCGGTATAGCAAAATAGCGGTCCCTGTTCCTCTCTGAACAGTATCACACGTTTCTCAGCCACTCCTAGGCGGTATAGCGGTCCCTGCTCCTCTCTGAACAGTATAGCAAATTTCCCAGCCTCTCCTAGGTGGTATAGCGGTCCCTGCTCCTCTCTGAACAGTATAGCAAATGGACAAGATACTGCGATCCCTGCCAACTAGGCAGTCAAGCTAATAATATGTAGCAATACAATGCAATTAACCTATCTTAGATCCCCAAGCAAACACTTTCACACTCAGGACTAACACTCAGGAGGCAGATAGACAATCAACAGATTCTTATAAAGAGACACTGGGCAAGAATTTTACCTGTCTTTGATGCCTTCCGGCAGCCGGAGTGGACACGGACACAGGCCAATAACAAAAACAGGAAATATAGGCAAAGTGCTAATATTTACTGTATATATAAGGAGGTGATCTTTCTCTGGTCCCGTCTCTGGGGGTCCGCTCCAGTCCTGGTTCCGGCCGTCCGTTCAGGCAGAGCCGCAGTGCCCCACGTTGGGCGTCAAATTGTCGTGGATCAAATCAAGTGTTTGATAATTTTTGTATATCTTCCCCTGTCCAAATTGTTAGATTAAATGTGTGCAATCTGAGCGCAATTCATATATCTTGTGCGCTTAGATCTGAGCTATCCAGAGACTGGTTGAATGGGCTATGTTCGTATTAAAACCTAAAAGTTATATATTTTTATGTCATTTTCATGTGGGTATAAAATGTGGTATTTCTATGCGCGTTGAGATAATTAGGTTAGTGTAACCATTGAAACCAATTATTTCCAAGCTAGGCGGGAACATTTTCAAATGATACACTGTAATGCCATTGGTCCAGAGGAGGTTGTCCCTGGACCTGATAACTGTATAAATTGCCATGCATGAGTGCCATTAAATCAGATCATTTTACCCTCAACTCGAGGCCTTGACTCATGTTGTAGGGAACAGTGAATCTACTATACTATACTCTACTATAGCAACTGGGATATTCGGCAGCAGCATTCTTCTCTCCGAGTTCGGGAACCGGGATAACCAAGCGTTCCAACTTTCAGCTAGCCTGGAGTCAACCGTAACATTTGGCTCCCTCCTTGTGGAACACTCTGGCAGACACTGTCTGACCCCTCTTTTGGGCAGACTAAGGTTGTACAGACCTGTGGTTAGGCTGGAGTTAGGTCCAGCCTAACCACATTCTGTTTCCCATGTCTGTAGGTGATGGTGAAGTTAAATGGCTGTAAGGATAAGCTCTGTAACCAGAGTGAACTCTTGTCCGTACAAGTAGGGAGTCAGTTTCTTTAGTGGCCACACCAAGGCCAAGCACTCTTTTTCTACTGCTTCATAGCTTACTTCGCTTGGTAGGAGCTTTCGGCTGATGTATACAACAGGATGTTCCTCTGCATCTTCTCCTACTTGGCTGAGGACTGCCCCCAGCCCGAACATGGAAGCGTCTGTATGGACGATAAAACGTTTATTAAGGGTTGGGGCAGCCAAGACAGGAGCATTAATTAGTGCATTTTTGAGAGCCTGGAAGGCTGTCTCACAGTGGGGAGACCACAGGACCTGTCGGGGAAGATTTTTCTTTGTCAAGTCGGTCAGGGGTTTGACAATGGAACTATAGTCCGGTACGAACCGCCGGTAGTACCCAGCAGTGCCCAGGAAGGCTAGAACCTGAGTCTTAGTGCGGAGTGTGGGCCAGTTTGCGACTGCTTCTATCTTTGCTGGCTCAGGTCGCTGCTTCCCACACCCCACTCGATGACCCAAGTACTGCACCTCAGCCATTCCAAAATGACATTTCTCTGGTTTCAGAGTCAGGCCTGTGGTCCAAATCTGATCCAGGACCATTCCTACATGAGCCAAGTGGTCCTCCCAGGACTCATTGTGGATCGCTATGTCATCCAGGTATGCACAGGCAAAATCATGAAAGCCATCAAGGAGTCTATCTACCAAGCGTTGGAATGTAGCGGGGGCATTTTTCATCCCGAATGGCATGACCTTAAAGTGATACATATCGTTTTCCAGTAGCACCTCAGCGGGCAAGTTGTCCATAATCGGTAATCCCCACCCTCCCAGAATGGGGTGACAAATGCCGACTTGGGGATAGCCTCTCTGGCCAGGGGAATCTGCCAGTAATCTTTGCAGAGGTCAATGGTAATTAGATAGTTTCCCCTGGCTATGCAATCCAGTAGCTCGTCTACCCTGGGCATTGGGTAGGTGTCTGTCACGGTCTTATCATTGAGTTTCCGATAGTCTACACAGAACCTGGTAGTGCCATCTTTCTTTGGTACTAGCACTACTGGGGACGCCCAGGGACTATCGGAGGACTCAATGACCCCTAGTCTGAGCATCTCATCTATTTCCTTTTTCATCCCAGATCTAACTGCTTCGGGGATCCGATAGGGGGCCTGTCTTAAGGGTTGTTGTCCTGGGGTGTCTACTTGGTGGGTAGCTAAGTCAGTGTACCCAGGTTCCTGAGAAAAGATAGCGCATTTCTCTTGCAGCAGTTTGTGGAGCTGCTCCCTCTCTAGTGGGTTAAGTCTGTTCCCGGTCTGTACTTGACTCACTAGATCAGAAGGGGGCCCTTGTCTAACGGGTCGGGTATGGGAAGGTTATCGGGGTCTTCGTGAGCGGGGCTACATATTGCTGCCACGTCTTCCTTTCTCTCAAGGTACTCTTTAAGCATATTCACAAGGAATATTTTCTGCAGGCTTTCATCGTGGCAGCTAACGATTACATATGTAGTGTCCCCACGCTTCTCTACTACTTGGTAGAGCCCCTGCCAGGCTGCTTGCAGCTGGTCTGCTTTAACGGGCTATATAAAAACTATCCTATATAAAAACTCCTCTTCCATGCCCCCCTGTCATACCATATTTTCTGTCGCCTCTGGGCCGCCTGGAGGTTAGTCTGGACCGACCATGGCCAACTGCTCCATACGGTCCCTAAGTTCCATTACGTAAGGTACGATGGGGACTCCAGCATTCTCGGTCTCTCCCTCCCAGTGCTCCCGGATAGTTCAGGGGTCCCCGAACCTTGCGCCCGTATAGCAGCTCAAAGGGAGAGAACCCTGTCGTTTCCTGGGGCACCTCCCGGTAAGCGAACAGGAGGTGTGGCAGGAAGCGCTCCCAGTCCTTATATTCCTGGGTGAAGGTTTTCAGCATCTGAACCACTCACAGAGCCCATTAGTCTGCAGGTGATAGGGGGAGCTGAGAAGGGATTTTATTTTGCAGACATGCCATAGCTGCTGTGTTAGTTCAGCAGTAAAATGGGTGCCCCTGTCGGATAGGATTTCCCTTGGGAATCCTACCCGAGAGAACACCTGAACTAACGCATTAGCTACTGTCTCTGCTTGGATGTTAGATAGGGCCACTGCCTCGGGATAACGGGTAGCATAGTCCACCACGGTAAGAATATATCTCTTTCCGGATGGACTAGGGGTGGCGAGTGGCCCCACTAAATTGATGGCTACCCGGCTAAACGGCTCTTCTATAATGGTCTCCTCTTTTCCATACCCACTGGCAGACCTCGCAAGTATTGCAGTAGGTCCTCACATCTGCATGTACCCCCGGCCAGAAAAAGGTGTGGGTAATGCGATGGAGGGTACGGGTCACGGCTAGGAATGTTGTGACCTACCCAGAGAATCTCCCTTCTATACTTGTGGGGTATGACTAACTGCCCCCGACGGTGACCTTTTTTCTCGGTATGTCTATACAACCTGCCCTGCTCCCACGCAAAGGTCTCGTGGTCTAACCCCCCAGCTTCAGTGTCGGCCCTTTCTCTATATTTCTGGAGGGTCGGGTCAGTTTTAGTCTCAGCCTCAAAGGCTGCAGGAGTATCCCAGGGTACCGGTGAATGGGGATGGGCCACAGTCGGGGGTAGTCTTACCTGAGTCACCCTCAAGATTGAAGATTCTTGTTGTCTTCCTGCTTGCGACCGGGTGGTTACAGGATGCGCCTCATTGTTGTAGGAAGTGGCATATGCTGAAGTCATGGGACCCAGGTCGTTTTCCAGTAGCATCTCAGTGGGCAAGTTGTCCATAATCGGTAATCCCCACCCTCACAAGTCCTTTACCCGCACCCCAGTCCAAATGTACTTTAGCCGTTGGTAGCTTGTACACATCCCCTCCAGCCACCCTGACAGCCATGGTGCTTCCAGAGCGCTTATGTTCTGGAACCAGGCGGCCTAGGTCAGGGTTATGGTGGCCCCGGTATCCCGGGTATCCCTTAGCCCAGTGATGGCGAACTTATGGCACGCGTGCCACAGATGGCACGCGGGGCCCTTTCTGTGGGTACGCGGCCGCAGGTTCGCCATCACTGCAGAGTAGGCGCCTGCCTGCCCGAAACGGCAGGCGCCTACTCTGGTTCCCGGTCGGGAGGCAGGGGGAGGGCTCCAGGAAGCAGCTCCCCTGTCCTCCCGCGCGATGCTGTGTGGAGCGTTGCCGCGCGTTACCATGGCAACGCTCCACACAGCATTGCGCAGGAGGACAGAGGAGCTGCTTCCTGGAGCCCTCCCCCTGCAGTGCTGACCACCACCGGACCACCAGGAATAGCTGTGTGTCCCCCCCCCCACTTCATTAAAGGTAAGAAGGAGGGGGGGGGGTATACTGACACACAGCACCCTTACCCCCCCAGAAGTAGCCCTACCCCCCCAGCACCCCTACCCTCCCCAGCAGCACCCCTACCCCCCCAGCAGTACCCCCTACCCTCCCCAGCAGTAACCCCTACACCCCCAGCAGCACCCCTACCCTGCCCAGCAGTAACCCCTACCCTGCCCAGCAGTAACCCCTACCCTCCCCAGCAG